GGGTGGGGGTGAGGGTGGGGGTGTGGCCCTGGCTTTTGAGGAACCGAGGAGACCTGCTCGCAGAAACTACGGGCGGGGCCGGGAAGACGTCCGGGACGCTGACTTGTTATTGAGCCTTGTGGCCGAGGCCGGGGTCTGCTCCTGGGCCACACGGGCAGTTAGAGTGACAACTGCCCGTAGTGCAGGGATGCGGGGGCAGGAGTCCACGTGACCTCCCTTATTAGGAAACTCCCCAAGATCCGCCACTGGTTGCCTTCTGCTTGGGCCTCAGTGGCTTTTCCTTCACCCCGAGCAGCAACTATCTGAGTAAGTTGTGTTAAACTGACCCCTCAGACACAGGGATCTTAAACAAAAACAAAGGATTTCTCCCCTCCTCCAAGGATAAATGTATGAAAAATATAACGTCCACTGTAAAAATATGGACAGTATAGGAAAATACAAAAGAAAAAGAGAAAATTCTCCAGAATCCCACTCTACCCACACAGAGAATCACTGCTAGTAATTTTCTAATGTATCCCCCGCGTCCTGTTTCCGTGCATTTAAAAATGTCAGTTTCATAATGTACATCAAATTTTGTATCTTGCCACTTCATTTAACATAATAACACAAACATTTCTCATTTTATAAAATACTTTTCATAAAGATATTTTAAAGGTGGCATAATAGTCACCTACTATACAATATACTTGATTTTCCCTTATTGTTGGATATTTAGGTTGTTTCCAGTTTGCATTATTACATATAATACTGTAACTTTTAAAAATAAAGTAACAAATCATTCTTGCGCATGAAACTTCTATATTTAGGATTATCCCCTTAGAATAAATTCCCAGCAGTGCAATTACTGGGCTGAAGGGAATGAGCATTTATTTCTGCGGCTTTTGATCGCTCTGCCAAATTGTTTTTCCAAATGTCCTCCCCGAGTGAGGGAAGGTGCCCCATATCCTTGCGCTTTCCAGATTTTTCGTAATCTTTGCTAATTAAACAAAAATTAAAATTTAAAAGGCGAGTCATTCTAATCGCTCTATTTTCGCCCCTTCTTTTTGTCCTGGAGAGCCTCGTGCCCCGGGTGAGGGGGACAAGGGCATTCTTCTGGAGAGAACGGCTTCCTGATGGGGATCTAAGAAGAGACACTGCCACTGTGTCATCTTCCGTTTAGCATTTTCACACGGTGGTTTGGTGGCCAGGATTGATGAAGATGTTGGCCCCCAGGCAGGGAGGACCTTCCAGACCATGTGGGCTTATAGAAAGCACAGCATTCGGGCATCCATTCCGCACCTGGAGTGAAGCACCTACTAAGTGGCCGGCACGGGAATCAATAGTGTAGGGCGGGAAATAGAGTCTCCCCATCCCCAGGCTGGGGAATCCTGCTTGCAGGGGAGAGTGGGAACTGCACAGAGCACGTGCCAGTGAGCACTTGCCGAGTGAACCCTTTCCGATTTCCTCCATGTGCCCCTCGCAATGTACAGAGAGATCATAGAATCGAAGGAGATTCGGCCTGACAAGGCGTCCTCTCCTCTGTAAAGCACCTCGGTCCGCTCGCAGGCCCACAGGAAGTGTCCAGCTCATAACTGGAAGGGCACAGACACCTCAGTAAACACTGACATACTCAGAGTTTTTAAGAAGCCTGCAAACGGAAAGCTCAGATTTCCTGGATTGTCTTCTACAGCACTGCACCCTGATGATTAATATTCATGACGGTAGAGAGAAAATATTGCAGCGTCGTGATGTGACTTCCAAATTGCCAATGAGATTAAATTAAATTTAGAGCCATTTTCCTATTAAGGGCTATGCGATTCTCTTCTGTTGCTTTGCAAACTCACGATTCATGGATTCTGTTTCATTCTTATGCTAATCCCCAGTTTTCAGTGATTCTGGGTGAATTGGAATTTACTGTAGGATATTCTGGAACTTCGTTTTCTATTCCCATCCCCTGCCCTCACCCTTTGGAAGCCCACACTCCATATGTTTTCTAGTTTTTCCTTCTTGAAGTTGTTCCTGGAGTTTANTGAATTGGAATTTACTGTAGGATATTCTGGAACTTCGTTTTCTATTCCCACCCCCTGCCCTCACCCTTTGGAAGCCCACACTCCATATGTTTTCTGGTTTTTCCTTCTTGAAGTTGCTTCCTGGAGTTTGGCTTTGGTGTCTACAGAATACTGTTTATGGCAACAAGCTGACATCCTTTGTACTTGCTGGCGTTGGTAGGAAGGACT